GAAGCAGATAACAAGCGCTTATTAAAGCGAATGATTTCGAAGTGAAAAGTGAGGAAGAATTTACAAAGTTGTGAGCGGAGGTATATTGGGATAAAGTGTTAAGCTTGAACGATCATAACGGAAATTACATACACCAAATATTTGAAGATGTGATTTAACTTCTGTTAGCACTGAAGTCGCCTGTGTGCTAAAAAACGTAAAAAATAGGCTTCATAATGAAACCATTAATGGTTTGTTGCACATCAAACTCAGCATGATAGGCTCGATTCTCGAACCTGACAATGTTATATGAATACAGCTAAAAAATTTAAGGTCAGCTTTAGCATCGGCGTCATACTATTCTTCGTCTACTTGTTCTCGTAATAATGAGGTCTAATAATCTTCCGCTAACCAGATGTCGCTAGTCAATACTGAGGTGAGGTGAATTAGACAAAAAAGTAGAAAGTAGTTAGAATGAGAAAGTTGAGAAGTTAGTTTTAAATAACAGTTTATTAGTTTCGTTATTTTATCATTTGTGATTTTCTCTTTAATTTTTTGCTGATTTTTAATTATATTTTAATTTTTTGGTGGATTTATTTAATTATTCTTAATATTAATTAATATAAAATAAAAAAAAAACATAAACACTCACGCCTGTTACCCAGAGGGGTAGGCAAAGAGTACGGACTTCCATTTGGCACGATCCTGACATACCTCTTTCGCCTCCTTTACATCCATATATCTACGCATACATGCTCGTCGGTTAAGGGTACTTCTAACGTGGCCCCTTTTCAAAATTACGCCAATTTGGTCGATAAACTTTTTTCTAGGGCGTCCCTTCCCGACTCGGCCATATAAATTTGCTTTGTCACTCTTTCCTCATTCATTCTTTCTACATGACCAAACCACCGAAGCATTCCTTTCTTAATCCTGGTCGCAACATCATCTTGCATACCACATTTATCTCTTATCACCAATTTCTCACCCTGTTATTCAGATTCAAACCTAGCATACTCCTTAAAGACCGCATTTCTACAGCATTTATTCTACTTTCGTGCTTCTTCTGCCACACCCAGCTTTCACTACCATACATTAAAGTAGGGACTAACACAGCATTATGAATTACCATACGTGCCTTTTTTGACACATTCTGGTTCTTCATAATAGAGTGTAGTGCCCCATTCACTCTATTCCCTGCATTTACTCGTCGTTCTATATCCCTATCATATCTACCATCCCTGCTAAATACACATCCCAAATACACAAACTCATCCACTTGCTCAATTAACTCTCCTTCTATTCTTATTTCACATACCGTTTTGCTTTCTTCTCTTTCAAAAACCATCACTTTCGTCTACTTGCGTTCACTTTCATTCCCCTTTCTTTTAATTCCCAGTTCATTAATGTAACCATCATTTGCAACTCAGCCGCCGATGACGCAAATATGACTTGATCATCGGCATACAAAAGGCATTTGACGGTTAACTCGCCCATTCTTAACCCACATTCTTCATCTTTCAAAGTTTGCAAACACCTGTCCATAAACAGGTTGAACAGCCAAGGGGAAGCTACACAGCCCTGTCCGACACCTTTTTGGATGACAAACCAGTCCGAGTAGACCCCATTGATCCTGACACAAGCACTAGAGTCCCTAAAAAGAGACCTCAATGCCTGTATCAAACCAGCGCTCAACCCATATGAGTTCAGTTTTTGCCATAACACATTCCTGTCCACTCTGTCATAAGCCTTTTCCAAGTCCATGAACGCACAAAAAACTTTCTGGTTTTTGGCCAAAAACTTCTCCGCAATCATGCGCATGGAAAAGACTTGATCTGTACACCCCATTCCCTTTCTAAAACCCGCTTGCACATCCCAAATTTTTCCATCAGTTTCTTTCATAACTCTTTCAATTAACACCTTAGCATACAGTTTACCCACAATACTAAGCAAGCTGATACCACGGTAGTTTTTGCAATACTGCTGTGACCCTTTTCCTTTATATATTGGTACTATAACTGCTTTACACCAGTCATCCGGTACCGGTTTTAATTCCCAAGATAAATTAAACAAGGTGTACAGCAGGCCTGCCACCACTCCCTCTCTCCGCTCTTAAGCATCTCGAGTGATACTCTATCATATCCAGCTGCCTTACCTGCTTTCATGCTTTTCATTGCTTTCATTATTTCATCTACACTTATCTCCATACACCTTTTCACTTCTTTCGGAATTTCTAGTTCATTTAATTCAGACGACTCTTCACTCATAAACACGCTTTCAAAGTATTCCTTCCATCTGTTTAAATTCGAAGCTTCATCATTCAGAATACATCCATTCTCGTCTCTTATAGCATTCATTATAGGCTGTTTTGTATTTCCCCTGGCAGTTCCTACGAGTTTCCAGAACATTTTTATGTTAGCCTGGAAATTATCAGATATCCTTCTATCATTCTTATCCGTTCTTTCTTTCTTTTTCCTTTCAACAACTTCTTTTACTTTCTTATTTAGACGTCTAAATTCTGCCTTTTTTCTTTCAATCTCATCATTCATACCAGAAGAATTACCAGCTTTGGTTGCTAGTAAATCTAACCATGCTTTCTTCTTTGATTCAACTTCCACCCGTATCTCATCATCCCACCACAACGTATTACTTTTCCTTTCATTTGTTTTCTTACTTACACCACATACTTCAGTGGCGGCATCCACCAAACCTTTCTTAATATTATCCCACACAGTATTCAAGTCTAAATCATTCATAGACAACTCATTTGAACATCTAATATTTCCTCTCAGTCTACATTTATACTTCTCTTTCACATCTTCATCTTGTAACTTCTCTATTCTTATACGCTGTAACGCAGTGGTAGACACAGATGTCCGATGCCGCCAACGCTTGAAAAGACCATTAATTCGACATAAGACTAAGTAATGATCCGTCCCTACGTTGGACCCCCGGTAAACCCTTGTATCTACGACTGCGCTCCTTATTCTTTCATCCACAATTACGAAATCTATCATGCTTCTATCATCACCTCTTTCCCATGTATACATGTGAATCTTCTTATGACGAAAAAAAGTATTCGTCACAAAAAGATTCTTTTCCACACATACGGTGAGAAGGTCTTCACCATTCTCATTTATACTTTCATCACCAAACGTTCCCAATATCCTTTCATAACCAGACCTCTTTACCCCAACCCTTCCATTAAAGTCTCCTAACATAATAATATTTTCATTTTCCTTACATTTTGTCAACACCATCCTTACCATGTCCCAAAACTGCTCTCGGATGTAAGTGGGCTTAGACATGTCTGGGGCGTACACCCCTAGCAGGAACAGCTTCTTTAAGCCCACTTTCATTCGTATCCATAGCAGCCTCGGGCTTACACATTCATACTCTTTCACACATTGACCCATTCTTTCTGAAAGGATGAAACCGACTCCCTGGCATGCCCGTTCGGTCTCGTCTACACCAGACCAATACGCGGTATACGTGCCATGTGCAGTGGCATCCTTTCCCTTTCGTTTAGTCTCATTCACACATAACACATCTATTCCTCTGTCATTCATCATTTCGCATACTTCATCCATCTTATCATTCATTCCTCCACATACATTCAGCGTAGCCAGACGGGTTTCCGCAATCCATTTTTCGCCCCTCCGGCAGACAGAACGTGACGGGTGGCGAACCTCGTCGCCGGTTTTTCTCCCGGAGATTCTTCGCACCCCTGCCCCATTGAAGGGGCGCCGTGAACTCGGGGCCATTTCTTTTATTTTCTGAGTCGTGGTGCGAACAAGGGGTGGTGGTTGATTTTACGTCGCTACCATACGGCGAGGAGCCAAGTCTATTTTTTTTCGGCTTTGTCGCTCGTTTAGCACTACCCGGGGGACACGTGTTAATATAAAATATAACTAATAATCCAAAAAAAAAAACATTTGCCTTTACATTTTTTAATGAAATAAACTTCCTGATATGTAATCAGTCAAATATTATACCTCATTTTTGAGTGACGCCGCCATGGTGGCAGAAAAAGTCGTGGATGCCCTCATTGCTTACTATCTAAGTAATAAATTATCTTTGGCCATAGAAAACGCGTTACTAAAATAAAAAGATAGTTTTTTTTTCTAACTCTTTTAAGGTTTACGCCCTAAATCAAGGAATTTCGGAGACTAATTTGACATGTTTAGGGCAACTATCAAAAAATCTAGGGCAAAATTAAAACCTGATAATGGAAACACTGCCATGTCGATACCCATAGACCAAGTATATAAATAAAGGGCATAGGGGCATAGATAATGGATAACTAACAGAAATATTAGGATAGATAAATAAATATGTAGCAAGTAACTAACAGCTCGACTGGAATTAAAGCAATCAAAGTAAAAAACTTTGAAAATAATACCTATTTTATGTTAAAACTTAGCTTGAAACAACTAATTGAGATAATTGATAAAGTTTGGCTCGTTGACTGTTTAGTTTTAATATAATCATAAAATATAGTAAAGAGTTTTAAAAGTATTTTATTTTGCAAGTAAGTTCAGACTTATTTTAGACTGGTATATTTTTTTAAATCTTTTTCCCTTTAAGCTTAAAGTTTTAACGGATTGCTGTTTTACATTAAATAGTCTCTAAGACATTGTAGAGGTTTACTTAACGTTTACGTTTAGGTAAGAGTTAATAAACTGTTTCACCAGTACTATTTGCGTGTGTTTTTTCGTTTATGTATATTATATGTTACATTCGTGTAAATACAGAATGAGTTATAATAGGTAACATTACCATAAGTGTGGTATGCAATAATAACATTATATATTTATGTTAGCTTCGTAAGATTTATAAAAAATTGATGCTGTTTGTATCTTGACTATTGTTTTGGTTTGATTGATGTATTATTGTTTTGATTTTGTGGTTTTGATTCTATGAAAACATGCAGATGATTACATTTATAATATTCTTTATGGCTTGCAATTAATGCTTTATTATAATCATTTTTGAAATCAGTTAAAGGTTTCATTTATTTTAGAATGCTACTAAAATTATCTCTCCCTGGCTTAAAACTTGTGAAACTGAGTGAGAGATTTAAGAGTTCTGCTGTTAAAAAAGGAGAAAATTTCTTTTTTCGACAGGTATTTTTTTACATTAATTTTTTTTCTTTTATTGCAACCTAGCAATTGTTGAATATAGGCTTTTCTATAGATTGCGTCATTGGTGATATTTGTTATAATTCTAAGCAGGTTGGCAACAACATTGTTATTTTGAGCCATTATAATGGTTTTGCCCATCTTCTGTTGCATTAACCCTAGGTTGCCTCTTAGGTGGCATCCATTAATTATGTGAGCTCAAAATAGGGGAAAACAGTCCAGCAAATTCTCATAAAATTTAATTTGAAGGGAACAGGGGGTTATAGAAAATATCACTTCAGAAACAGATTTTTTTTATTCAATATAGATTATAAACAATACTTATTCACTTGTTCACTAAGTCAATTTTTTCATTTACCACTGGTTCTCAAAAAAAAACCTCTGTCCTGGGAAGAACCAGCAAGAAATCCAGCGGGACTATTTTTTTTCAAATAATAGCTTACAATCATGTACATTAGAATTGACAACACAAAACAAATTAGAAATAGCTTGCTAAGATCACCCTTCCCAAGGGTTATTATCATCCATCTTCAATATTTCAATAAAAAAATTTACCTTATTATTAGAAATAATAAAAATAATCTTTATTTTCTTATTCTATCAATATTAATGCATAGGTATTTAGTGTTAGTGGTTATTAACATATAAATACATAAATATACATGAAAATGAATTTAGTTTAAAATTATAGGGTAAAAATTGTGTGAAGGGAAGAGGAGGTCACAACATATCTCATGAAATCTTCAAGGGGAGGGGGAGGTCTAAATTAAAACAAAAACACCTCATGTAATTAATGGATGCCCTCTTATGACACCCACAGGGTTTGGAGTTGTGGGTTCTCTAACACTCCCACTACATGGTGATTTTTCATACACTAATAGTGCCCAGTAGTCAAATTTCAAATGTAATTTATTTAATGATTTCTTATATTTACGCGAACATTGCACATGATTAAAACTACTTTTACGGATTCACAGACACAGTCCCCCGTGACCATGGGTGCTGGAAAGCGCCCGAAACGTCGGGAATTATAAATAAAAAGTAAAAATAAATGCGATAAAATTCGTAAAAGTAGTTTTAATCATGTAATTTATTTAATTTTTAAGTTTTAAACATTACTGAGGTTCTTTTGCAAAGATCGTCATTGCATATGATTTTGAATTTATGAATTTTTTTGATTGTCTTAATTTACAACAGGTGTATATTAAGCCAGCTGTATTTCTCTTCGAAGTGTATTAATATATAAAACACAGATATCTAAATATAAAGTAAACACTGTTTTGCCTTGACATACACTCAAGAGACTATTGAAAAAGGTACTTATGAAATCACACAAAATTCATCTACTCTATGCAGCTGTTTGACCACAGACACCTGAGTTGAGCTTATAAAATATATTTTTTGTGCATAGGAGAATTCAGAGGATGCTTTCAGTATATATTGTAACCTTTCCAAGGTCTTCGACTATGTACATCATGAGACATTAATCAGGAAGCTACAGTACTGTGGTGTCAAGAACACAGCACTCAAACTTATTATTTCATATTTTAGTATTAGCATAAAGAAAGTTATTATCAAAAAAGTTCTTTCGGATGGTCCATATAAATTGGTGTGTCTCAAGGCCCAATTCTTAGCCCATTCCTATTTTAGTGTATTTTAAAAACTTATCTTCCCTTGTAGGGGATAATCATGATATTATAGTATTATTTGCTTATGATACTTCTTTGATTACCTTGATACAAGTCTCCTTTTATTATCGTGAGGGCTATCTTTCACATTGGCAGTATGGATGGATTCAATAAATAAGTTAAAGTTACAGATACAGCCTATATACATCCCACTGCTGGGCACAGGCCTCCTCTCATCTCTGAGAGGGTTTTAGGGCACAGAAGTGTCTGCTGCGCTGCCCCAATGTATTGGGGAACTTTACATGTCTTCGAAATATTTTTTTCTTATTTCTCAGACATGCCGGTTTTCTTAAGATGTTTCCTTCACCGCCGAGCACTTGTTAAATTAGCACTTAAAATTACAATTAATAATTTCATTGTTGCTGGCAGCGTACTGTGAAATTTACAGCAATCATTAAGGGGGGGGGGGGGGGTTCATGTATTATGTAATGTAATTTGGGGGACCGGGGGTCTTGTATAACGTTACGACGCGTTACGGGGGTGGGAGGGTTCGAACAATGCGTTACGTAACATTTTTACCTTCCCATTAAGAACATTGAAACCCTTTTTTCACCCTGATTTTCGAAAATCGAGTTTTCATCAGATCTCGACGTTTTGAGATCCCAGGAAGTTATTCTGATTAATTTCACGTGGACGTCCGTACATAACTTTTCAACATCTTGATCGATTGAGATGCGGTTGGCCGGCGGCGGGTTGCGGCGTTCTATAGATCTCAATGTGGAATAGATTTGGTGATAATATGAAATGATTCGGACAAGTAGATTTTGAGAATACACAAAAATAAAAATTTTGAAATAATGTTTTTTTTTTAAATGGATTTACCGATCGATTTCAAAAACTAATCAGCTCTTAACCTCAAAAAATGACGTCGAATGCCGTTTAGAAAATAAAAACCGGTTCATTCGTTCGTAAGATATTGAAGGAGAAAGAATTTGAAACAAAGTTTTTTTAACATAACTTCGAGATTTCGCAACCGAGCAAGTTTGTGCTTCTTACATTATTTGTAGAACTTAAAAAACTGCGTTGAATGCCGTTTTGAACATAAAAATCTATCTATCCGTTCATGAGATATTGAAGAAGAACATTTTTGAAAAATTTATTTTTTAAATTACTCCGATATTTCCAATTATATATATTCTATAATTATATATATAATTATAGGATAGGGTGACAAACGAGCACACAGTCTACCTGATGGTAAGTGGTTGCTGTGGCACATAGACACATATACATCTATCCTCGATTACGAATAAAAATGCAGATGCTTTGTCCAATAAGACTAAGATGGAATACCTCGTTTCTAGTAAAAATGGTCGTCGGTTCTCTACACTCACCATACGAAACACAGCAGCATTAAGCTACTATTTTACGCTGGTATTCTGTGACAGCGTGATCCTACCCTGGTCAAGCTGACCCATTCGTGCTACAAGTATACTATTAATATAACTGCAGCACCTACCACATATAATTTATTATTTGGCATTTGAAATTAGCGGGAGTTCCAGCGATGGCCTGCAGAATCAACCAATTTTTTTAATTTGAATTAAAATGTCCCAAGTTGGCAACTCTTTTTGCTTACGTTTCACGGGGAACTAGGAAGACGGCTAAAGAAAAACATGAAAAATGAAGAATAGTTTATAGAACATAAATTATTTTATATGAGAGTTCAAGGTGAAGGCCACGAAGAAGAAAGCAACAATGCTTAGTTATATTACACAGTTAAGTTTACTGCTAAAATGTAATAACCTGACCTATAGGAAGGTATATAATATACAGATATAAACCATTATTTATTATTAAGGCGATTAAAACAATAACAATGGTATTTTAGCGATTTTCCGGCACTTTGTGACTTTTAGGTAAAAATGGTCACTAGGGTGTTACGTAACATTTAGGGAGGGTGGGGGTACACCAAACTTTACGGCGGCGCGTTACATGGGGAGAAGGAGGGTCAAAAATCTTCAAAAATTGCGTTACGTAATACTTAAACTCCCCCTAACCATCTGAGTTGCCACAACTCATTCAATGAATCTTCTATTATATTTAATTTTATTTTATTAAAATATTATATTTTAATTTTTGTATATTTAACGTTTTTATATTTTCACATATTGTATATAAATTCAAGCTTTTTACAGTCCTTCTCTATTTAAAAAAAGCCTTTGAGCAAGAAAAGAATTTAACAATCCAGCTGTACCTGCAAATTTTTTCATTTTCTTTTTTGCCCTAAAAGCTTACAGCTGAACGTAGACTTCTTGCGTCGTGTCTCAGTATGCAGTATGATGGTAACATAAACAGATATCTCACATCTTTGATGGCGCAGCTCATTGCCTAGCTATTTTACTTTGGCATAAAAGTGTTTGTTTAAGTTTCCATTGTAATTTTGTATCTTTTTATATTTCAGTTATTTGATACAGTTAGCAGTACTTACACATATATATTAGGTGACAAACAGACATGTGAGGCTGTGCTCATTGATCCAGTATTAGAGCATGCTGAAAGAGATGCGACGTTAGTGAAGGAGTTAGGCTTTAAATTGATTTATGCTAGTAAGTACAAAATATTTTAGTGTTGCAATTTTACAAGTCGCATGTTATTACCGAGAGGGTTCCAAAAGCAAGTACTCGCTGTCTCATTGAGGGCAAAGTCCACAATGAGACACGAGTGGGGAGTTATACTTCCCCACTTTGCATGTGGTAAATAAGCACTTAAAATTGCAGTTTCATTGGTGTCAGCAGGTGGAATTTTATGACCAATGCTTATAGTTTATAAAGTACTTTATTGAAACTAGATATAGTTTATGGTACACAGCATTACTAAAATTAAAAAAAATACTAAAAAGTATTATTCTACTACACACACATCTTCTAGTTAGGTATACCTCAAACTCTGAAAACTAAATTGTACAACCAGTGCATGTTGCCAGTGATGACTTACGGATCTGAGACGTGTTCCTTCACTGCTGGCTGTATGAGGACGCTCAAGGTCGCTCAGCGAGAGCTATGGAGAGGGCTATGCTCAGAGTTTCTCTGCGTGATAAGACTCAGAAATGAGGATATCCGCAGCAAAACCAGAGCGACCGACATAGCCCAACGGATTAGTAAGCTGAAGTGGCAATGGGCCGGCCATATAGCTCGAAGAACAGATGACCGATGGGGAAGAAAGGTTCTCGAATGGCAGCCTCGTACCGGTAGGTGTAGTGTAGGGCGAGCCCCCACTAGATGGAGTGACGACCTGGTAACACATGCAAGGAAGTCGATGGATGCAGGTGGCTCAGGACCGTGCTTTGTGGCATTACTTGGGGGAAGCCTATGGTCAGCAGTGGACTTGTGAAGGGCTGTAATGATGATGATGATTATTATACTAAAGTCACATACATTTACATTGTTTTAGATTAAGAAATATGTGTGAAGTATTCTACATACATCTAGAATCATCTTTTTCAAAGCCTATAATTTGAAATTCTGTTTTAAATTTTTATTTAAGGTTTTCATGTAAAAATTTAAATTGTTTATTATAATTTTCCAGTGAATACACACATGCATGCAGATCATATAACAGGGACAGGCAAGTTAAAAATACTCCTCCCTGGTACAAAGAGTGTTATAGGAAAAGCATCAGGTGCTCAAGCTGATATTTATCTTCATGATGGAGATCTCGTAAAATTTGGAGACTATCAACTGACAGCAGTTTCCACACCCGGGCATACAAATGGATGTTTGACTTATATTTGTCATCAACAAGTGAGTTAAATCATCTTTATCAGCAACCCTTAACGACCATCTCTAAAGACTGCTTTTCTAGCCTACTCAGCAATCTTTGTTCATAAAACCACTTTGTTGCTCTTACTTATAGAAAGTCACCCCCTTATGTGTATTACTCTTGAGATCTAGGCCTAGACCTTAATATAGATAGTAAAGTAAAAAAGTAAAGTTAAGGCCTATTGTCAGCTTTTCTCCAATAAAACCACGACAACTCACTTAGTTAACTGTGTAACCACTATGTTCATTGTTTAATTTCATTCTTAAATTGTATATACTACTTTATAACACACTATACTTTACTTTCACAAAGAAGACTATATGGGTAAGGTCGTAAAAAAATGTACTTTTTGAAAGTTTTGAGTGGGCCCATGTTTGAATGTGAATACCATACGCTAACAAAAAGTATGATAATATTATTAATTAATAAAACATTGATAAACATCTTTAGCATAATGTAGAAATAACCATAATATTCAAGAGGCTTAAACATAAAAAATATAAAAATATTTTTGAATCAACAAAATAAAGCTGCATACAAAATTTATTTGTCTCCCATCAACTTACGGGACGAAAAGATGCAACAAATAAAAATAATATAGCATTATGGTTTTAAAATTGTAGTTTTCTTTGAGAGCAATAAAGATGACATGTGGATAATGTATAAATTATTGCACACATGCAAGATATACATAAATTATTGCAATACAATGCAATACAATGCTAGTGGAAAAAAATCTCATTTGAATTTGTGTCTCCAAAAGTTATCCAGTGTGTTACTCAGATTCAATATGGGATAGATTTTTTGTTTTCAACATTAAACAACATTAGTGACCTAATTTCGAAGAGGCAATGCCGTAGGCTTACTGTCAAATGTCAGTTTTGACATAATTTTTTCATTTGTAGTCGTGACCGTAAACAATTGTAAATTTCATAATTTAGAGCACAAATTTCGGGCAGTGTATATGTCAATTCTACGTGAGAAGTACAAAGATATCGTTTACTAGATTCTTGATTCGAAATTTATAGTCAAAAAAAAGTAAAAGTGTATGTCAAGTTTTATTAAGTAAATCGCGCATCATTTATGACCGGTATTCATTGTCGAGTTTTGAATTTTCGAGTGTGTTTGTTCCAGTTCGTTACGTGTGTTATGGTGTTTGTTATGTCACACACTGGAATTTTATAAAGGAGGCTGTTCACAGACTACGGTGAAATGAAAAAGGTGTAATGTTATTCCGACGTACCTACATAAGAGTGGAGTGTTATACTATTCTGATTTAATATTACTAGTGGTCCCTCAGTAGCCGAACTAGGTCCGTTTTTAAGTAATCGTCGCCTTTCGTCAGCTTTTCCACTCGCACAGGACCATAATATAAAAAATGTTTAAGTGATAAGATGCATTTTTTTAAATTTAATTAAATGGCAAAATATAAATAAGTTATTGTTAAAAAAAAAACATTTTTTAATGTGGCTTTATTATATTTGTATGCTGAGTTTATTAAACACAAAAAGTTTTTTTTTAAATCATTACATATTAAATTAATACTATATTATAGTTCGCTTATTGATTACATTAAAAAAAGCGTTTTTAAATTTCAATTTCTTCTTAAATGTGGCTCTGTGCGAACGCGAATAGTCTCAAATGGGATAGCCTTTATAATTAAAAAAAAAACAGTGTAACAAAATTCCATGATAAATGGTAAAAATACGGTATCTGTACTTATTGTGAACTGTAAACACATATTTATTAAATTAGTTATATTTCTTGTATGAATAACCTACTTTGTTTAGTACCTACTGTTTTTTGTAAGCACATTATTTTGTTAAAGGCTTTAATTCTACTGTGTTGCGTTATTTTAGTGTTTGTTTCGCAAACATGCAAGATATACATAGTCTATGCATAGTCTAAGATTCGTTTTTGATTATTTAATCTTAATTTCATTAAAATAAGTAATTGATAATATTTTAAAATTGATTTTACTTAAACCTTTTTCCAAGTGAATATTGACCTTTATATTATTCCAGTACGCTATTGTGTTATCGTGCGTTATTTATACTTTTTTACGACCTTACCCATATATTAATTTAACTTTACTCACAACCTTTAGAGTCACCTTATTTTACAATAGACTTGACTATTATAACCTTCTCAGCACCACTGTTCGTAATCAACTGCCGCGAGCGTCAAGTGTACGCGCTTTTATATTGTGACTCTATTCTAGAATTATTGTAGGTAATGATTTCTTATATTTACGCGAACACTACACTTTGATTAAAACTACTCTTACGGATTTTAACGTGTTTATTTTACTTTTAATTACTTATATTTTTAATTCCCGACGTTTCGGGCGCTTTCCAGCACCCATGGTCATGGGGGATTGAGATGACTGACGTCCCGATGTCATTGTTAAACCCGGAGTAACTTCAGCTTTTTTAATTATTGTTTATGGTCCCATCTATGCAAAATGAACCGACTGTGTCCTGAGGTCTTGCAGTGGTATGCTTGGGCTTAGTTTTAATTTTATTGATTATAGGATCCCAAGCAGGTGGTAGTACCCAGCCTCCTTCTCTATTGAAATTAGGATATCTTTTAATTTCAATAGCCTCACGTATCATCCTTGGTAGGAATCTGTGTTCTTTCGCGAGGATTTGTGGATTTGTGGTATGTAATGGTTGGGGCCATCTAGGATATGATCGCAAACTGCAGACTTCCCGGAACGTTGATGCTTCACACCAGCTATATTTTTCTATTAAGCGGGTTCTAATTGATCTTTTTGTTTGTTCTATATAAGACAGACCACATTCACAATCAAGCTTGTACACTCCTGCATCTTATAGAGGAATATGACACTTGACGGATGGTAGGAACTGACTAATCTTCTTCGGCGGCTTGTAGAATTTTCTAATAGAAGCTCGCTTCAAGATGTAGCCCAATCTTGTCTGTGACACCTCTGACATATGGTAGTACGGCAGGCACACGCTCGACTGTGGCCGGCTTCACTCGGTCACTGTGACGTAGGCGCGGGACCCGAAGCTTGTTGTCGTGCAGAACTTGCTTGACGTGCTGAAGTTCGGCGGCCAGGTGTTTGCTGGCACAGATCCCTCGTGCTCTTTGTAACAAAGATTTGCCCACGGTAGCTAACTGTGAAGGATGGTGGTGAGATTCACCCTTTAAATATCGGTTTGTATGGGTCTTTTTCCTATACACAGTGTGACCAATGGTGTTGTTAGGATTTCGGATGACTAACACATCTAGGAAAGGTAAGGAATTCATCATCATCATCATCATTACAGCCCTTCACAAGTCTACTGCTGAACATAAGCCTCCCCCAAGTAATGCCACAAAGCACGGTCCTGAGCCACCTGCATCCATCGACTTCCTGCATGTCTTACCAGGTCGTCACTCCATCTAGTGGGGGGTCGCCCTACACTACGCCTACCGGTACGAGGCTGCCACTCGAGAACCTTTCTTCCCCATCGGTTATCGGTTCTTCGAGCTATATGGCCGGCCCATTGCCACTTCAGCTTACTAATCCGTTGGGCTATGTCGGTCACTCTGGTTTTACTGCGGATATCCTCATTTCCGAGTCTATCACGCAGAGAAACTCCGAGCATAGCCCTCTCCATAGCTCGCTGAGCGACCTTGAGCGTCCTCTTACGGCCAGCAGTGAAGGACCACGTCTCTGATCCGTAAGTCATCACTGGCAACACGCACTGGTTGTACACTTTAGTTTTCAGAGATTGAGGTATACCTGACGAGAAGATGTGTCGTAATTTCCCGAACGCTGCCCAGCCGAGTTGAATCCGTCGATTGACCTGTCGGTCGAAGTTGGACTTACCTAGTCGGACTATTTGTCCCAGGTAAACGTACTCGTCAACAACTTCGAGCATAGTGCTCCCAACAACTACCGGCATAGGTGTGACATGGACATTAAACATGATCTTTGTTTTGTCCATGTTCATCTTAAGACTTATCCGTTGGGAGGCACTATTGAGGTCATTGAGCATAGTACTTAAATCCTCCAGCGATTCTGCCATAAGGACTATATCGTCGGCAAATCGAAGGTGAGTGATGTACTCGCCATTGATGTTAATACCGTATCGTTTCCAGTCCAGTAGCTTGAAAACTTCTTCCAAAGCAGCGGTGAAGAGTTTCGGGGATATAACGTCACCCTGTCTTACACCTCTCTGCAGTTGGATAGGTTTCGAGCTCTGGTTCTGTACTCGGATAGCCATCGTATCCCTACTGTACAAACACTTCAGCACCTCGATATACCGACAGTTAACTTGGCACCGCTGTAGGGACTGTAGCACCGCCCAAATTTCGACGGAATCAAAGGCTTTCTCATAGTCCACATACGCCAGGCAAAGTGGCAGATTGTACTCTTCGGTCTTCTGTACAATCTGCCGCAGGGTATGTATGTGGTCTATGGTACTGAAGCCTTTTCGGAAACCGGCTTGTTCGGAAGGCTGGAAGTCGTCGAGTCTGCGTGCGAGACGATTCGTCATAACTCTCGAAAACAGCACGTAGACGCGGCTCAGAAGGGAAATCGGTTTGTAGTTCTTCAAGAGAGCGTTGTCGCCTTTCTTAAAGAACAAGACCACCGCACTTCTGCTCCACGCTTCCGGAGTAGTGCCTCCATAGAGGACGGAATTGAAGAGCTTCTGAAGGACTTCAAGTACTGGTGTTCCACTCGCTTTCAGAAGCTCCGCTGTAATTCCATCCTCGCCTGGGGCCCTGCAGTTTTTAAGGTGCTGGAGAGCCAATCTAATCTCGCTCAGACTGACGTCCGGGATATCATCGGAATAGTGTCGGGTAAGACTTGCTCTTGTATCGTTACTCACACTTGCGTGTGGCTCCAACGATGATGTGTACAGCTGCCCATAGTACCTCTCAATCTCACTCAAAATCTCAGGTGTCCCGGAAACGATGCTGCCACACTCAGTCTTCAGCTTTGACAGTTGGCTCTTTCTGGCAGACA